TTGCTACTACTACTGCTACTGCTGCTGCTACTACGACTGCTACTACTACTACTACTACTACTACTACTACTACTGCTACTACTACTACTACTGCTGCTACTACTACTACTACTACTACTACTACTACTACTTTCTTTTGTTTTAATGTTTAGGCATGGTCGAAGTGCAGAACCGGCAGTCGATGCGCATGCTAGCCGCTGGGAGACTTGACTTGAAGTGTCGTTGCACCCCGAGGTCTTGGAATCCATGTGCTCATGGACCTGGTGCACGCACATGCTTCCTCCAACACTCTAGATGGGATTGCCCAGATGGACGGCACTGACCACTGCCACCCGGCCAAACCTCTCGGTTCTACGATCTTCTCTTTTCGGGCCGATTCCATTTCCTGTTTGTGGATTGTTGCATGTGCTGCTCTACAACGCCATTTGACAGCAACAACAGCACCACCACAGTCGTCGTAATCCTAGACCTCACCATAAGCAATCACCGCTAGCACCGTTTGGAGCATCATCTTGTCATCATTTTCCTCTTTTTCATTGCCAGCACCAAGCATCTTCGTCACTACCAATGTCAGCATGATCACCGCCATCGTCATCGTCATGGTCGTCTTTAGCATCATCAACGGCATCAACATCGATGTTTTGATGCCGGGCAACACATCAACATCATTGGTTCCATACTCTTTAGACTGATAAAGTCCCCACCTGTTGTGGCAGCCTGTGCACTCAACACGACTGCAACCACTGTCACCGTGCATGCAGAAGAGATAGCCAGAAACAGAAGCATGTGAACTCACGCCAGCACTCCGCCGTAGCCAAGGCTACACGCACGGAGGACACACCTGTGCCTTTTCTCTTCGGTTCACACGTTCAGGTTTTATGATTAAGCTTCGAGTTTAGTGGAGGAGGCAGGCCCAGGTTTAAAGTTTATAAGGCATGTTCCATGTCCTGGAATGGTCTCGGATGTCTCGGGCTGGCACGTCAAGACGTCAAGGCAGTTCGTGCGACCCACGGGACTCGCAGGTTTACGCCGCCAAGCATCAGTCTCGACGCGTCTCTGTTGTATCGTTGATGAACCTTGTTGTTATACTGTCTAGTGCCGTCATCAGCAACTTCGCTTGGCCGGACGAGCACGAGTGATGGCATCGAGTATATCGTTTGAGCCTTGTCAAGACAGCGGCGATTCAGCGCATAAGTTACCTCAGATGTTCTCGGAATCAGGGGCTGACAACGTCTGAAGCTTGAGATTTTCCGGAATTGTCAAGTGTCAGTTGTAGAAACGATGGCAAGTCTGGAAGCAGGATTTGCAGGGATCCTTCATTGCACCTGTCATATCTGCTGCCGAACAGGACCGAAAGGACATCACAGCGAATGGGACTCGACACTTGCCTGAACAAGTTGAACGAATATGGGAGTTTCAGAAAATTAGGGTACCTTGTTTTGGGGTCCTTATAATAGGGATCCTATTATTTAGGGTACTATATTAGGGTCCCCTATTTTCGGAAACTCCCATATGGAAGCCTGAAGAATCCTGAACAATTGCCAATGGTGTTCCTTAGGCTTCCTTTGTTCTAGTCGTGCTATAGCATACCCCGAAGCCCCATTCAGGCCCCTATATAAAAGTTCTTTCCTTCCTTCCGCTCGGTCATACCTGCCTAGATGACCGCCTAAACCCTAAACTATGCCCTTCATGACTACGCGGTTTTGCCGTCGCAGCTTCAGAGCTTATATTATTAGTCGCAAACTACCTTGCAGCTACAGCAAAATGGAGGTGGAAATGCTTAGCAGTACTATCCGATTGCCATTATACCATAATGTACCCCAAAACCCTGTTCATGTCACTCAAGCTCTTTCATTAGGCAAAGACGTGCGTGGCAGCCCACCAAGGAAGATTTTCAACTATCTGAAGTACGAGGCTGGCCAGCCGAAGACGTCCACCTCGGCCCCAAACCCCAAGCAAGGGGATTTTAGTGGAGGTTTAGGGCTTTTTACAGCGGGTAGCCTCACACGCGTACACGAAGCCCTGAGCCGGTACACTGTAATCCATTATAAACTTTTAACTGTTCAGGTGCTTCGTTTCCTTTTGTCCAACGTGAAGTGGTGGCTGGAGGACACACTGCATAGTTGCGGCAGCAAATTCATGTGTGCCGGATCCTATTTCTCATAGCCAGGAAACATGCATTCTGTGTCTGCGTCCTCACCAGAGCTGGAGAAGCGATAAGGATGTGACGGAGTTTTAATCTGAACTAATGGTTCGCAGCCACCAGGAGTACCAGTTCGACGGCTTCCGCTTTGATGGGATCACCTCCATGCTCTACCACTCTCATGGTTCTCTGGCAGAACGCATTCCTACTCTTGAAACGCAAGGACTCGAAAAATACATAGCCAGATTCCTGCCAAGCTTCCGGTTGGACGATGATGGGCTCGTTGGTGAACAACGTCCCAGTGTACAACATGAACTAATTAAGCAAGAGAGGGCGAGTCGCAGGAGAGACGCGTGTTGGTTGTTTCTGGCTGGTGCTAAGGTCTGTTGCGTCGCTGCTGCTTGATAAGACGAAGGTGTTGCTTACAAAACCGCGCATCATGTCAGACTGGACCTGGAGGGCCTGTACTGCCGATGACCCCAGGCATTGGCAAGGGATACACCGGCGGGTACCATGAGTACTTCGGGCCAGACGCCGACATTGACAGTCACATCTACCTCATGCTGTCGAACGACCTGATCCACACCGTGGTGCTGCCCTCAGGATCATGAAGGTTGACCTGAGGTTTAACTGCTTAATGCCTGAACTTTGGGACATTCTTGAGCTTGTTATCCTCAATCGCTCAGCAAGGTGACCATGGGGCTACTTGTAGGTCCTGCTCAGTATTCTCCAGACCCGGACACCGGGAGTCGTAGAGCTTTGAGCACCTACAATCAGTGAGCCCACAGGATTCTAGAATTAAGTTGCAGAAACTCGTAGCATTCAGCACCCTGAGTCCTGAGCTCCACCGTGACATAGAGAAGCCTCCAGAAGTGAGCCTTTCAAGGCAACTTGTTCACCTGCTGTGGTGTGCGTGTGCGTGTATACATGAGTGTGTGTGTGTGTATATATATATATATATTTATTTATAATGTATATACACATTTCCTTTGAACATACACTGCAGGTGCCGTCCGCTATCACGGTTGCAGAGGACAAGCGCCCGATGATGTGGTAGTTCTTTTCTGCCTCGTGGTGCGCATGTGTTCACGGAAGGATGTCAGCGGCATGCCTACGATCGGCCTTCCGGTGGAATATGGTGGTTTCGGCTTCGACTACCGCACCTTTGCTGCAGACACTTCAACTTTGAGCTGCTAACTTTATTTCGCCATCTTTGTCTTAACAAATACCGCAGCATGCTTGGAAGCTGCACCGTTCATTGTTTTGTGGCAAAATGGTATCGACAGAGTCTGCGACGACGTTATGTAGTCGTAGCACCATGCCAGTCAGAGAACTGATAGGGAAAACAGTATCCACCACTGCCCAACGGTGAGCGGTGGCAATCTGACTGGCCGACATCGTGCGACAAACCCATCCAAGCGTTAAACTCACAGCTTTCGAGATACTGGTAGCATTTCTCCCTGGATGACAAGTGATAAACAGCAGCAGAACAGTTGCATTAGGTAGTGGTAGTGGTAGTAGTGGCAGCTGTAGTAGTCGTAGATCTATAGCCATTCGCAGTCTAGTAGTGGTAGGGGTGGCGGCGGTGGTGGTGGTGGTGCTGCTGCTTCTGGTGGTCCTGTCAAGGTACTTGTTTTACACGGATTCAGTCTCTTCTAGGCTCAGGGAAGTTCGTAAGTAGTTTCAGGTATAAGCTTAACACTGGACTAGATGCCCGAAATGATTGCTGTTGACTCCACTAATAGAAGAGACAAGCCCAATGAAGTTTCCGAAGATAAGAGGCCTTGCCATGGCCATCCCAGACATGTTCATCAAGCTGCTGAAGGAGAGTTTATGGCTTGTGCTTTATGCTGGGGTCTGGGTTGAGGGTTGAGGGACTTCGGTTTCTGCTTGGGGGGTACATCGAACCTCGATGCCATTATGATGATGACGACTTTCTGGAGCAAAAACAACGAAATTCAGGCCAGCAAGAGTCAAAAGGCACATGCCAAGCTATCAGTCAGAAAAGCTTTGACGACTGCTGACCTGGAATCAGATCGCAGCTCAATGATGTGGGAAAGCTCCTGCACCCATGCGGACATGTGATGCGTGGCTTCACGCTCACTTGGACTCGGGGGGTCGATCTCGCCTTCCTCATCCATTTGTTCGCCCACCCTTTGAGGTGATGGTTGACACACACTCTCGAGCCAGAAACAGATCCACCCGGGGCACAATTGCCCCGTGGTCGTTTTAAGCAAATTACCACAAGTTAGCATACAAGCGAGACGCACCGGCCGATTGTTTCTCGAGATTCTTTACTGGCAAGTCTAGTCCTGGTCTTGTGTAGGAGAGGCAATTCCAGGCATGCAGGTCTTCGTCCAGCACGAGCCAGGGTTGTGTCTACGCGCCTACACACCATCAATTCCAAGAGTGTTCAACATCCAAGTTAATGTTCTCAACTGCTGGTCGTTAAAGCCCGCCCTCTTGCGGCGTAGGATGTCCGCACGTTGAAGGTTCCCGTCAATTGGTTCATGTGCTTTGCGTATCGCGTCGTAGGTCGAAGTTGGTGTAACCATCATCGGAGCAGGAAGTCGGTGATGATGGATGGGACATGGGGCACATCTGCTACACGATCCTCGGCCGCTCTATGTAGAGTTGTGGGCCAGTCCCTGCACTAGTCGACGATGCAATCAGATCTGTTGCTGATAGTCATAGCCACTGCCTCGACTGTGGCAGGCAGGTCCTTGTCAACGCTCCTGGACATGTCGATCAACCGCAAAGCACATGCATCTCTTTGCCTTCCGACATGATTCGACAAAAGAACAGCTGAGGCTGACAAACAGGCGACACTTGGAGAAGGCGCATTTGCGCATGTAGTAGATTCAGGGGCATCGCTTTAGCAGCCATAGATTTTACCTAAGTGACTTGTGCTTGGAGTGGAAAATTCAGGCACATGTGCTGTGCAGCGTGGAGTGAGAGTCATGAGGTGGTCGCCTATGCCGAGTCCCACGACCAAGCCATTGCCAAAAGCTGAGACGGAACAACTGCCATCGGCAGTGCAGAGTGCAACTGTGTACATTATGACCTGAAATACGGATATACGTCTGTGTACACACGAGCATCTGCTGCTGGACATGTATCCTTGGCACGCCACAAGGACCTAAACCCTAAACCCTAAACTGTAAGACCCATCACCCGGATCGCCCATTATGTCATCGGATGATCTGAAACCACACACTCCTAGCGGGCGAGATTTCAGTGCGCCATGTGGTACAGAGTGCCTGTTAGACCGATTCCTCGAAATCAAAAGTACGTAAACCAAGGTGGATGAAAGCTTCAGAGGACCAGGGATCTTAACGTAGAATCTCGAGACGGATGATCCTCGGATATCCTCGAATAAATGAGGCTCCCTGCTTGGAGAGACCCGCAGATGTGGATGAGTTTGTGCTTTTTGTGCTTTTAACTCTCCTGCCTCTGTTGGACAAGTACAGGAGCGTCAGGCTGATGAGCTACTTAGAGATCTGTCTGTGAATAGTCACGCCGTAATGTATTGGCCTTAATAGTTAGAATAGGGTTTGGGGGGTATGCGATATGATAATTGTAATAAGGAGCCCCCAAAAACCCTATTCTAATTATGAAGGCCCCTACATTATGGCTATTAACAAGGTAACATAGTGGAGGTGTTTTTTTTTTTTATGATTGCTTGCAACCCAACATCAAGGTATCTACGACCAACCCTGTACGGAGACTCCCCCATGAACCTTCCAGCAGCTTTGATGGCTAGCTGCTGTCGAGTCTCCCAAACCCACGTCCTAAACCCTAAACCCTAAACCCTAAACCCTAAGACCTAAACCGAGGTTGGTGACAAGACCCTTGCTTTCTGGCTCATGGATGCTGCAATGTACACAGACATGAGCCACCTGACTGCGTTCATGGTTTCATGTTCGTCGTGTATCAGTTTGCTTTGTCGAGTTCTGTTGCTGCTGTTGTTACTAGCACTGACTACTGTCACTATTGCCTCCATGCTCATAACTTGTCTTGTTTTTGCAGTTCTTGCTCTTGCTTTTGTTTTCGCTGCTGCACACACCACCCGAGAACGCTGTGACAACAAAGGGGCAGCAGCAGTCTGGAGAACTCCCTGCGGAGCAGGGCCCTTGTCGGGTCGTTGTCTCTGGCGTTCCGAAACGACCCATGAATAAGATGCCGGGACTGTCATTGTGTTAGGTATTGACGTAACTGCTAGCACAGGCACAGTCAATGTTTACAGGTCTTTGTCAGCGTTTGGCTGGATCATCATTTCGTTATTGTCCCTGGTATCCTGGTATACTTCCATTTTTCTCCTGTCAGGCCTCCATCAGAATCCGCACCACACCATGGCGGTGGATCGGGGTCTGGCTCTGCACCTTGGGGCGCGGTTGGACAGCTGGGGAGATTGTCGAGGGTGCAGCACGATGTGTAGTAGGTCTCATGCACTCTAATCGCTCCAGCTGTAGATACCTGTCGGCCCATGCTGTTGCATGATCGGGTCTGATTGACGGCATAGAGGCCTGGTTGGCAGTGGTCGGTTTGGTCGCACCTTCAATACCGATCTTAGTTTTACAGGCCTTGGTCAGGCAAGTGCGCAGGATTCTGCTGCTAGGTGGTTTTTGCCTTAATGTTCTTCTCATGTCAGGCACAAAATGATCCGCCTTCTTGTGCAAGGCCTCGGAGGCAAGCGGTTTAAGTACAACCAAGCATTTGTTGAAGCTTTCAGACTTGCTGCTTGAAGGCATCGGCAATACAGCTTGTAGTAGTTGCGACTCTGCAACTCTTATAGCCGGGAGGGTATCGTTTTCCTCTGAGACGCTCGAGCCGCAGCATGTAACTGTACTTCTTTGGTGTTGAAACTTGCGATCTTGTTACGTCTTGGTTACGTCTTGGAGTAGCAGCTGATGGCGTTGATGTTGATATTTTTCTCGCAATGGCAATGGCCATCATGTTCATGACGGTGGTATGGTATTGATGTGCAGGACGACGATGATTATTGTTTCGTGTTGGTGGTGATGCTTTTTCGCAAGTTCTTGAGAATGAAGAAGTGAGGTGGGTGGTTCTCCTGCTGCCAGTGATGAAGAAAATGCCGAGCATGTCGAGTCTGAAGTCGGAAACGAACATCATCACGATGATCATCACTATGATGCGATGATGATGATGGTCAAGATGTGATTTGTCACGATGCTGGCTTCGTGGTGCCGCGAACAGGTGAGGGCTACCTCAATTTCATGGGAAACGAGCTGCTGGGCAATGCAGCGAGCAGACAGAGCATGTTGGTTCAGTGCAAGCTGGTATTTCGGTTTTAGCAGGACCGCGTTCCTGCTCCTGTTTCATCTTGACGTGATGCCATGCTGCGCATGAGCACCTCGAAACCCTGAGCCTCGAAATACGTAAAGCTAATCAGTGGCCGATGGCAGTCTTGATCTTCAGTTTGGGCTGCCTGTAGGGAATGCTGAGCCAATATCATGTTCTTCAAGATCACGCATCATCAACAGCTCCATCATCATCGTCACCAGCATACTCCTGAGACTCAGATCCGCAGTCAGAGCCGGTCTGAAAACCGGCGGGCAGGCAGTGCTGACACAGACTTATCTGTTATTCGGGATCCTCTGCATCGCAAGCCCTGAGCTCAAATCCTTACCCAGCATAGACACCACGAGCCTTAATTCTAAAAATCCCTGGTGCCAGAACACAGTCGCCTATACGCGATCGAAACCCTTCACTTAACCCCCAAAGAAAAACCCTGAAACTCCACAACTGCAGAAACGTAGCTTTAAGTCCTGTCCGAACCATGAGGTTCGGCCACCCGGAGTGGGTCGACTTCCCCCGCCCTGAGAACGGCTGGAGCCACCACCACTGCAGGCTGGGCGTAGTGTCTTAAAATGCTCTGGGGTTTTCGAAATTCGGTTCCATGTGTGTGAGTTCGGTGTTCACGGTGTTCCTGAAAGATTTGAGGCTAAAGGTTTGATAGGTTGTTGCAACTGTCTTAGCGAAATGACGAGTGTAGGTCTCTCACAGCCACGATGACAATATTGTGAACATGATGGCGATTCTTGCTGGTAGCGCGTTTGGTTCCATGTGCCGTGATTCGTAACAACCAACAGGATGTTACTGCGAATCCTGATGCCGGTGTTGCTCTCTTTTTGCCCCTGGGGTTGTCAAAAAGGTTTCATAACATCTTGTACCGTTGATACCCAAACTCCCGATAGAATCAGGCCCAGGCTTTGAAGCTTCTTGATCGTGTTGTGTTAGAAGGGTGTAGGGTGGCCGGCCCTTTCAAACTCTCATCTTAACAGGCTGTCAGAGATTGAGCGTTGTAAGTTGTCGCGCTTTAGAGTCTTCGTGTGGCGCCGGGAATTGTTTGTTCGGGATTGCCACTGCACTTTGAGATGTTTTGTCTGTAGGTGTTTTTTTACAGAATGGGTCGCCATTCAGGGAACATGTCAGCTTTCCTTCGTTCGCAAGTAGTTTTACACGTGCAATGTGGGCATCCGGGGCTTTGGGTCGAACACGAGGAACGAGCTCGAGCTGTAGATGCGAACCCTAAACCCTAAAACCTAAACCCCTAAACCCTAAACCCGTAGAGCAAAATAAGCCAAACTCCCGCTAAATCTGAAGGCGGGCAGGCCTTAAGGACTCGATCTTCAATCCCTGCAATCTCGGAGCCTCAAAGCCCTCAAGAAACGCCACTACTTGGAGGTTCATGGGTAGTTATAAGTGGAGTTATAAGTCCCCTAATATGGGTTATAAGTATAGTTACCCTACTTATAACTCCACTTATAACTGCCCATGAACCTCCAAGTAAGTAACCTCTGAACCCGTGACATACAAGCTCGAATGTTAGAGCCTCTGGGCAGGCGCCGCTTTGACCTGCCGGAGGACGACCTGCTTCGGCTGCTTCGCCGACACTGGAGAAAGCTGGGGTGTAGGTGGGTTTATAAACTCGAGATCTACAGGAACGCGCAATTAGCAGTTTTTTTTATGCTTGAGCTTCAGGTTCTGATTAGGTTACACGACCTCGCAAAGTTTGCATGGGGCCGTGTGCAATGGTGCCTATTTGCCAGAGGGGGTTTTGTACTTTCTTGGGACAGTCCGCAGATTTGCTCCGTTTGTAGCATTAGCCTGGCCTGCGCATTCTCTCTCTCTCTCTATCTATCTGTCGCTGTCTCTCTGTTTCTAGATATGTATACACTGCGCACATACGCATGTGCACTCATGTATGTGTATGGATACTACATGCATATAAATAAATTGCAGTATTTGATGTGTTTGCTGAATTATACCTGTTTCCATGCGCGTACATGAACACGCATGTCAATATGTATGTTTGCACAAGCTTATGTATATATATATATACATGATGTGTATGTAGACAGAACAGATAGTTGGATATTTAGATAGGTAGGCAAGTAGGTAGGTAGGTAGGTAGGTAGGTAGGTAGGTAGGTAGGTAGGTAGGCAGGCAGGCAGGCAGGCAGGCAGGTAGGTAGGTAGGTAGGTAGGTCGATAGAGTGATACATGGTACAATTACATACGTATAAATGAAATAAGTGATATGTATATATATATATATATTTATTTATTTGTTTATTTATATGAGCCCGATGCCTTTAGGGTCTATTTAACAACGGTTTTACATTTACAATACTACATGCTTAGCTACATAGTATTCGGCTAGTGGTACATGTCACAAACCCAAATTCGGACAGACCGTGATATATTGTTTACTATCGAATCTCCATGTCTTTCATACATACATACAGACATACATACATACATACATACAAACATACATACATACATACATACATACACATACAAACATACATACATACATACATACATACATACATACATACATACATACATACATACATACATACACACATACACACATACATACGTATATACGTACATACGGTATCCGGATGTGCTGAAAGATATGTTCTCAGGTACAAGTTCTTCCAGAACTTCGATGAACTGATGAATGCGCTCGAGAACCGCTTCCAATACCTATCTTCAGGGCATCAGCCGCTTGGTTTCGAGTGACTCTATCTCCGTGTGCCGGGCAGTGCGAGCCTTACACTCGGCTCCTGCCAAAACATGTTTGTCAAAGCCTGTACACAACTAATACCCAATGTACCTTAGAGTCGGCAAGCGTTCATGCATATCTCACGCCCCGAGGTACGTCACCCTGAAGCACAGCGAGGACAAGCTGATTGTCTTTGAGCGAGGAGACTTGCTGTTCATTTTCAACTTCCACCCATGCAACAGCATCTCGCCGGCGCTTTCAGAAGCCACTGGGGTCGACATTGAACTTGACTTAGCTCGTCCTTGGCAATGTGCCAGGGCTATGTTGTGGCAGTCTTCTCGGAAACAGCAACCGTTGTAAGGTTCTCCCCCACTCCTTATCACACGTTCGCATCCTCCTGGCATCTGGCTTGTGAAAGAAAGGCTACGATGGCTACCAGCTCGGCTGCTGCTGGAATGAACCTATGCGAACTGTGCTGGACACTGATGAGGCAGGAACAAGTTTTCAACTTTCCCTGCTGGGTGAGGTGGATAGCCTCATTGAGTGGCGCGAATAGCCCTGCGAAAGACTCCCTGTGCGACCCTTCCGCAATTTCCCCGAACGCTCTGTTCCTGTTCGTCGAGCCTTAATCTGCGGTTAAACGTCCGGTGATTTCGACCCGGAATGTGTCCCCCTGACGGCTTGAGATTTCACTGCGGCCCAGTCGATGCTGTTTCTTTTGCAAGGACCGTCATACACCGTAGTGTAATCTAACACATATATTTCATAGTATGTGGTTTAGTATAGCACAGTATAGCACAGTATAGCATAGCATAGTATAGTGAAATATAGTGAAACATACTATAATTTAGTCTAGTCTAGTCTAGTCTAGTCTAGTCTAGTCTAGTCTAGTCTTGTCTTGTCTTGTCTTGTCTAGTGTAGTGTAGTGTAGTCTAGTATAGTCAAGTATAGTGTAGTCTAGTGTAGTATAGTATCGTATTGTATCGTATAGTATCGTATCGTTTTGCATCGTATAGTATAGTATAGTATAGCATAGCACAGCATAGCAAAGTATAATATAGCATAGTATAGTACAGTATAGTATAGTATAGTATAGTATAGTATAGTGTAGTGTAGTGTAGTGTAGTGTAGTGTAGTGTGGTGTAGCGTGTATAGTCTAGTGTAGTCTATTTGAGTGTGGTCTAGTATAGTGTAGTCTAGTATAGTAGACTCTAGTACAGTAATAGTCTAGTATAGTAGAGTACAGTATAGTATAGTATAGCATAGTACAGTATAGTATGACATAGCATGACATAGCGAGGAAGTAGGCCACAGAGAGATAATATAGCTAAGACATCGTTCCATATGGGAGATTCCGAAACTAAGGGGTACCTTATTTGGGGGTCCTTATATTTAGAATCCTACTATTTGGGGTACTATATTAGGGTCCCCTATTTTCGGAAACCCCCCGAAACCCCAAACCCCGAAACCCTAAACCCGAACAACTAAAACCTAAACCCTAGACCCTAAACCCGAAACCCCCAAGCCCTA